CTATAGTAACCGAAATGCGAAAGGAAATAAAAGAGGGGGAAGAGAGAGAGAGGGAGCACAGAAATATGGAAAGGAATGGTTATATCTTTCTTTCTTCTCTCTCTTTTATTTTCCTTTCCCATTTCAATTATTATAGTTCTCATCACAGTCGCCCGTTGTCGTTGGCATTGTTAACAGGATTTACACTAAAATGTGATTATTTTTATACATCTTGAAAACGGTCTCAAAGGTATGTTTCTCGATTCCTTTCTGTTCAACTTGTAATTTTTATATTATTTGTCTCATTTGATTGTTTCCATATTTTATAGTATGACTTCAATCAGAAATTATATTCTACAACTGTATTTTAATTACTGAGGATGATCAAATATTGTCCGAAACGTTTAATTAAATTAACCAATATAAAGAGTGTTAACATATGTATTTAATAAGAAGATTGTAATATAAGCAATTAACAATTAGCATTAGACACAAAATCCTCCTTTTTGTATTACTATTATCTTACTTTAAACAAATTATTAAAAATATATATTACATTTTATAAAATTTTTTTGCATATTAAATCTTGTTGTAAATAAAAAAAATATACAGATAAAAAAGTACGTTGAAAATAAATTTTAAAAGAAAAAGAACAGCATATCGTTGATAGAATTTCCGGGATGTGATCATTATTCTTTCATTAAAATAGAACAGCTTCATGAAATATACCTGCGCAAGCATCGATACTTATAAAACATTCAACACGTAGAATATCGGAAGTACGTACAATATATATGGAATATTTGAGAGGGGTGATACTCACTGTTTTGAAGAACGTGGCGCTTGGACCGTTCGCTTCCTCGATCATTTACGATCTTCACGACGACTCTGTGCGCCTCGTTCGATTCTCGGGCGTGATCCCTCTGCGGACCGGTCGTTCCCGGCGATCTCTTCTCCGGCAATTGCAGACTCCTGGATCTTCGGACCCGAGATTGATGAGAATCGGGCGACGCTTGATTGGTTCTGGCGCTCTGGTGTTGTCGCACAGCGTTGCCGCGTCTAAAGGGATTAGGGGTGGGTGACCGGCCCTGTCGTCCTTCGCTGCTGGACGTGGAGGACGACGAGGAGGGCGAATTGAATATCTGTTTTCCAGATTCCGAGGATCCCGGTGATCTCCTCAGCCCTTGTTGGCTTCTATGGATTCTCCTGGATATAACATTTCGATGTTTTACTCTCGAATAATATCGCGAAGGATTTTCGTTGTGAAGCGTGTCGCAATGCTAAACTTTTTTTTTTCCAATACATATAAAGCTACGGAAAAATGGAAAGCTAAAACTGCAAAAATAATATTGGCTGCGCGGATAAAAAAAATTTCTAAATAAAATCACAGCTACGTTTATTACAGTTCTGCCTTGCGTCAGTTTTCATATCGCCTACCCTTGCCTGTTAGGTGAAATTCGTTCGCCATTGGCGCGAATCGATTCTGTGGACGAGTTCAACGCGAGAGCCGATGACGACACCAGACTGAGGTTTAAGGATGAGCTGGGATTATCATCCTCGTCACCATCGTCATATCTAGTATTAAAAGGTCGATATTGTCGCATTGGATATTTTTAAGTTTCTTTTTCTCGCTACCTTTCATCTACAGATTCGCAATTCAACGATTCAACAGAATCGCAATCCTTGCGGCGATTTAATTCTGCTGCAGCGCAGATATCAATTCTAATCTATCTATTATTTTTTAATCACGACTAACCGCGGTCGTTTTTAATCGTTAAGAAATTAATTCAACTGACAGAGTCGTTAATCGCAATTAGAATCACGTCACATACCCTTCGACCGAGGAATCCGTGTTCTCCGCCAAGCTAGGCATGATGGATTTCACGCAGCTGTCGAGGCTCCTGAATCCCATCGACGACGACGACGAACTGGACGACTCCAGATACCTCTGCGCAAACTGCGATCTTCTGGAAGACGATTGATCCTCCAAAGACTTGGCCTGCGCCATGCGATACTGCTGCTGCTGCTGCTGCTGCTGTTGCTGCTGGCTGGCGTTCTGCTTCTTCGACCTGGAAGACGCCACGCCGGAGTTCCTCCTGGATGCGGACGGTAGGGAGCTCCAGTTGACCTGGTGCGGCGGTGGCGACGGTGGCGGACTGATTATATCGCTGTCGACGATGGCGTTGGACCGCGGCAAGAAGGGCGCCTTGCTGCCGTAGTTGCTGCGCCCGGCGGAAGAATGCCTGAGGGAGGACGATTTCCTGCCGGCGACAGCGTCCTGGAACGCCGGCGGCGGCGATATGATCGGCGTGATCGACGGCGGCGAGAACGACTCCGGGATGCTGTGCGGCGACGTGCAGGCGCTGGTCGTGATGGAGTCGAAATCCTGACTGTGCAGCGCGAGGTAGTCCGGTCGTTGCGAGTCGAGTCCTCTGGTGAAGTCCTGCGGACACTTGCCGGGCTCACTGTTGCAATGATAGTCCGCTAGTTTGACCGCCGCGCGTCGCGCCAGCGGCAGGGTGCCGGTAGTCGCGGTCACCAAATTGCTCTCGTAGGTCGAGCGGCGATTCTCGTCGAGGGACCGCTGCTGCACCTGCACCCAGCCGGAGCGGCCGAGGTAAACGCCGTCGACCTCGCGGTCGCACCATCGCACGGGCGACAGCTCGCGGCTGCAATTGCCGCTGATGAACAGCTCGCCAGACGTGCCGCTGTTGCCCGACAGGAAGGCGTTTGCAGCCTCGCGCCGACGAGAACTCGAGGAGACCTGCATAATGGAGGATTGTCACGTCGCTGACGAATTACCCAAATGGCGCGCTGTCCTAGTTTCCTCGCGTGTACATATTTATTTAATTCGCGCCGATTTATTTCCGATCTATATTCAATTTATATTACTCACGTTTAATTACGTTAATGTATATTTAAATAACGCAACTATAACAAATTTGATTCTAATAAAGAAAGGCGTCCTAATTTTTATTAAAAGGTTAGGTAATTGACGTACATTATCCCTAATTATCGTTTGAATAACGATAATTAGGATAGAACCAGTTTAAGAGAAAATAGCATTCTACATAATGCTATAAAAGATAGTATTAAAATATCGGAACGCGCAAGAGCAGCACCCGTTATTTTCCATTATTCTGATTTCCAATGATTAGCGCGAAAAATGATTACGGGATAAAACAGCCGTTTCCGTAAATATTAATTAACTCTAATCGTAATTTAAATGATTCACAGCATCGCTCCAAAACGGGAGCCGGGCAGACACGGAGAATCAGTTGAAGCTCACTTAACTTTAATTAATATTTACTGCGACAATCCGTAGTTATCTTCCCGAGCTTCCGCGCGCGAATAACCCCGATTCTCCACCTCCGATTTCGCGGATAAACTGACAAGGACGCCGCTGGCCCCGACGTCTGACGAGCGCAACGCGGATCCCCAACTTACCTGACCATGGCTGTCTTGTCGGTGCTGCTTGAGGCTTGACGTCGACGTGGTCGACGTGGATGTGTCGTGACGTTTCAGGGATGGTATCGAACTGCCGCGGCTGTAGGAGCCGCGCGCGCTCCCACCGGGTTTGCCTCTGCCGCCTGCCGTCTGACTCTTGTTGCTGCCGATGCTGTACGAGGAGCCCTGAGAGCCGACCTCCCAAGGGTCCGCTGACGCGTTGCGAAGATGGAGGATCGACACGTTTGGGCCTCTGCAATCGAAATTTTCCTACCTTCGAGTGCCGTTCAAAGTGCCGCGAATAAAACGCTATTCGCGACATGCTTGTCCTCGAAATAAAGTCTCAGACAGCCGATTTAGCATCCGTACGGTGACGTTGGACCAAAGTGCCTTGCATCAATCTTTGGTAACTCGCATTGTATTCAAATATTCAAACATCATAACACAGAACAAGGATGTCATCTGTATAAATTATGTATAACGTGTCGCACATATGTGTAAAAGATTAAACATATGTTTGTCCATAAAAAATAATTCTAATTGTCCGATCAATAATCGTGATGTATGAATAGACACGATACGCACATTCCGGGTTATTTAAAATTGATGGCACTTCCTGATCGTTTGTGTAATAAATGACAGTCAATTATTAATACATTATAAAATTAACAATGAACAACAATGGATTATTAATACTACTGTTTATGTTTTGAAAAACACGTTTGATCTCTACGTGATCGAAAAACAGCTCATTTGTCAAAAAAATAAAAAAAAATTGTTTTCACGATACGTTGTTCGCCGCAGTTTACGGAGATGTGTAATTTATTATTGACAAAGCTGCAGTTATGTGCGATCATATCTTTTTTCGCGCACGGGGCTACATAAACTCGCGCATCTTTGATTTACCGTCATCGAATTTAGAATTTATTGCGCTGCAAAAGGAAATCGACTCGCGCTGCACTATAGCATCTCCGGAGATTTTACGCGACAGTCGGCACAGGAAGCCTCCCGCTTTTCCCGACGTCTCGAAGTAAGATAGATGCGCTCGTTTTTGCTTGTCTACGTCCCATTCCGCCTTCTTGCTTCTTGCGGCGTCTTTATTCGCGTCTCTCTTCTATCCGGCGATATCTATATCACGCCCGACGGGGCGGGGTTGAATATTTATACAGCGAGATTGTATATTAAGAGAGGGAAGAAGAGGGTGCGGAAAGAAGGAAGGAACGAGCAAAGGTGCAGTCCAGGTTGCATCACGCCGGTGTATCTCTGTGCGCCTGTTAAAAACCCGCGGTGACGTATGAAAGTCAGATATCCGGATAGTTTTTTCCCGAGAGCAAACGCAATTTCTCCGTGGACAAATGCATCTTCGCTTATATTCCTTTTCTTTTTAATTTTTCCACTCTTTTCTTTTCCTCGTCCGTTTCTCCCACGTGTCTTTCTTTGTACGGGAATAATTCCGCTGCAAATCGCCGTGAAGGCATTGCGTACCCCGCTGCACGACAAAATGAAATTTTTTCCACATGAGTAAAATTAATAAGGAAGAAGCTCTTGGCGTGCGGAGTTCGTCGTATGAATTTCTTTATAAAGCGGGTTAGTGATATAATTGGTAGACCGAATACGCGCGACTGACATTTCTGCACAAAATTCGTTATCTGAGAGATCATACTTGCTGATTAATGCGCGATCCAAGAAATTGCAGAGGATAAAAAAAAGCGTTTGCGAATAGTAGAATTTTGCTTCAAACCTTGTCGCCAATTTTAATCGGATAAATTCGAAATTAGTCGTCCAAAGGCTTTAAGATTTTTAAACCGAGAAAAAAAAAGGAAAGAAAAATTAGTGGAAGATTCATTGAATTGATACAAGTAGCGCGAGATTCGGCGTGATTCATGCAATCATTAATTAATTCGGTCTAAAGACAGTAATGTCCTATACGGTGAATCTAGGTGACAAAGCGTATTTCGGGGACGCCGCTCGCTGCGAATAACCTTTCGTCAATACCGCTCCGCATATGGCTGACGAAGCGTGGCGGACAAATCGGGCGATCGCTATCACGAGTGGGACGAGAATAACTGTCCCCGATTAATCATATTTACCTCTTAACCGACATGATACGTGGAGTCGCCCGTTTCCTTTGATCGTGGCGTTTTAAATAGAATCGCTCTTTAAATAGAACAATCTGTCGAACGAAACAAAAGACAGCGGGATGGGCATCCTCTCTTTCGATCCACTGCTGCGCCGCAATTTGCGTCAATATAATCGCTGCGGCATATTTGTCATCTCTTGTATTTGTCCATTTCTCAATTTATTAAAATTGACGTGCACGACTGCGGTGATCGTCCTGGATAAATTTACTCGCGAGCCGGATGAAAAGAAAAATGTCTCGTGCGAGAACGAGCTTCCTTCTCTATCTTGTATGAAATTTCGTTCTCGTGGACGCTCTCGAGATGGCGATCGGTAGAAATGCAGCCGCTATTCAAAATTTGGCATTTACTGAATTTTATACTTCTTCATGTAAACATACGCCCGGCGACAGCGGTGAGTATCCGAATGCATGAAGTAGCGCGGCAAGAGAGTGGTCTTCCCGGTGGTCCATTGAGCCTCATGAAACTTACATCGTATGTAAACTTACACCGCCAGCGTCCAGGCGGAATCTGAACGGAAAGAGCAAGCACTGAACGGGATAACGCGAGGAAATGTTTTCGCCGTTCCGATAAAGACTCGGATACCAACTCCGCGAAATCAGATTCCGTTCTGGATGTCTTCTTCGGCGACGCGAGAAGACGCTGCACTATTCCATTACACACACATACACACACACATACACACACACAACCATCCGTGAAATTTTCTCAAACGTACATTTGACCTTTCTAAGTTTCTCAATCTTATCGCGCTTCACTTTGCCAGAAACTAGCACGCATGATTTACTGAAAGCACTGACGTGCTAATCGCGAAGTTCGAATTTGCATATATTAGGCTTACTTTGATCGCGTCGAATTTGAACGGAAGACGAGAAAGTGCGCGTCATTACCTGTCGACGCGCGAAATGGGACCCGCGTTGGCGATCTCGCTCGTATCCGCGGCCGGACTGACTCTTCGAGGCGGCAGGGCGGGAGGTGCGGTCTGACCGGGAGCCTGACTTGAGGACGAGGTCGAAACGGGTCCTCCAACGCCTACGCTGCCCCCACGTACCCCGTCTTCGGCCGAGTGTTGCCTCGAGGACTGTGAGTTCTGCGACAGCCAGCGACGCCCGGCGTTCCGCGTCACCACCGTGGGCCCGCCGGGTCCCGGCTGATGACCTATCGCGCTCCCACTATCCAGCGACGTGCTCTGTAACCAAAATCCAAGGCCACTTCACGTGAGCGCACACGAGAGAAAATGTGTGGGCTGCGACTCGAGTGCCATTGCGGCAGCAATATTTGGGCATATTCCGTGCAAAATCTATCGATAAACGATAATATAAGTCATGTCATTTGAACAACAGCGCTTCCGAGATATTATCTAAAAAAAAAAGGACTTCTGATATCATATCGTGTCGCGATAGCTTCAAAATTTTCTCATCATCTCGACCGCTTTCGGATTCTCATATTAATTGCGACTCGTTAGCGGCTCACCATTATCGCCAGCCGTATTATGGACGGTTATGAAATTGTGTCAATAGCCGAAGGGGCCCGCGCTATGGTGTCTTTATCGTTCCATCGAGCGCGGACCAAAGTCGCGCGGCCGTACGCGAGAGGCTGTTTCTACTTCCAAATACGGGCGAAGCACGTACGAGCGACTGGCGGGGTGGCGCAACTCCGCGGTGTGCCGATGAAAGTATTTTTATTCCCGTCCTGCCCAAGAGTAGAACTCGTCCCTCGGCCGATCTGTTAGTCGGTCGAGAACGTGCGTATCGTTTTATTGACTTTTATTACTCCATGCGAACCAATATCCCTTTTGACGCGTCGGCTGATTTTAGAACGCCCCGTCTGTCCATTTATTTACGATGTTCGCGTACAGTCGAATATTTGGAAACAAATATTACGAAATAGACTTGAAAAATGTATAAAGATTTCAAAAGACACTTATCCCAATTGTTTTTGTTTATAACAATGAAATGACGATCGGCAAAATAAATAAAAAGCAAGACTCGTACAATTAGATCTCGAATACGTACGTTCACATGATTCTTTCTAGACGTAATGGACGAGTCCTGCGAGGATCCTCTTGCGTAGTGCCGAGCGAAAACTTCGGCGAGCCTGGACCTTCCCGAACTCGTCGCATTTGACTTGGATTTAGTTGGCGGCGAGCCATCGGCGACGCCCGCCAAATTCGGATTGCTGCTCTTGCGCTCCGGAAATACTAAGTGCTCGATGTTCGGCGTGTATCCAGGATCGTTTCTGACGATATCCTGGAGTGTCACGCGACTGGGTCCGCCGTTACTGCAATAATCCACCGCATGGCGCCAACTTTCGTCAATTGATCACACGTTATCAATAATGATAACTTGGAAAGTGATAACATGAAAGTGATAACTTGGACGAACGTCAAAGTCCATTTAGAAAATGAGATTTTCAAAAAACATTTCCAAAACGTATCAATTATTCTGTCAATACAAACTTTAAGTAGAATTGATGCCGTTATTCTATTTCGCAAGCGGAATAGCGTAGTTTGTTAAATACCTGCCAATGTTTTCAAACATAAATATTTTTGAATAAAAAAAATTCCTTATTTTATTAATAACATTAAAAATATATATTTAATAAAAGAAATACTAGATTCTAAGTCGCAACCTCTCGAATAATTGCACGTTAATCCTGGATTTCATTATAGTTATTCCAGTTATTAACTAACACGAATTCTTGACAAGTTTGCGAACTAACCTCGGCCCGAAACCATGCGACTGTCTCTGTCCGCGCCTCTTCCCGCTGCCACGGCCAGGCTTGATGTTCGTTACCTCGGCCAACTGCAGCAAACGGCTGCGGTGCTGCCGTAACAGCGGGTCCTCCCGACGATTCATTCTATCCTGTGCACCGGGAAGTCTGTCGTTCCTGCATCCTGAAATTGCAATCATGAAAAAGAGAAAGTGAGTTTCACTGACAAACAATTTGTGCACGTGCTCGGTTACTTTTACGCGGCAAAATCATGTTTTGCAGATAATATTTTTCACTATCGTTGCTTTGAGTATTTTCCAGAACAAAGCAAACAATTTTTTTTAAAGTTACAATAAAATGATTTAATAATTTTACAAAAAAATCAGTGAAAGCTAAAAAAAAATATGAATATTTGCTGTCGCCAGATTTTCATCAGCACGCATAGAATGTTAACAAGGAATAAATTAATTGAAATTTTTGTAATAACATTTACAGCGGAGAGAAATTCAGTAAAGCAGATCTTGCTTGCAACGCATTACGAGATCCGTAAAAGTCACTGCTCGATCTTAATAGTTCTTTCCGCGTGGATCGGTTGGGATCATAGGAAAAATTTACTACGGACACGCCACTCGCGCTATTTTCTTACACATTCTCTCTTTTATCTCACTTTAATGTAAAGCAAGCGGGGCGAGACCAGATATAAAAGGGACGAGAAAAATGGTGTTCTCCTCTGCCGCAGAAACACCGGTCTGCTCGCCACTGTTTCAGCGCGCCAGATCGCCTTTAAAAATGCTTTCCTCTCGCCTCTCGAATGGAGCAGTTGCTTATCGCGCATGGAAAATGTCATAAATTCATGAGTCTCTGGAAAGACGATAATTTTTCTTTCCGAACGATATATTTACAATATTTTATATATTCCGCGCAACCATTAAAGTGCACGGTTAGTGTTTATTCAATATTTCCATAAAAACATTTTTTCAAGATTAGAAAAAGCGAGAGATTTAAAACGAGCAAGAAAATAAGAGAGAAAGAGGAAAAATGTCGCAATTTAAAAAATTCCGGTTTAACTTACAAATGACTTTCTCGCGAAGAGGTTGCATATAATCGATCAATTCGCACGATTATTTCATTTGACGTAATCTTCGCACGTGACAGCTTTATTATGACAAATGGCAACCACCGTCCAGAGCAGATGCAATAAATAGGCATCATCGAAGATAAACGGATGAACCCCCTCGATCAGCGTCGCTGCATTTTCTCGATAATGTCGCGCACGAGAAAGCGCATCAGAATATCGGCTATCGAAGAAAGTTCGGCGGCACGGTCGCGAATAGTTGGCCGCAGAAGCAACAATGCGTGCCGGAAAATGTAATATCGCTCGAAAATTATGGCCGAAACTAGCCGGCAAAGGCGCGCGAGCATTCCGAACGATCATTCCGCGTGTTTTCATTTTCGTAGCATCCATCAGCGTTGGCCATCCGATGGGACGCGGAAAGAAAAACAGATATCAGATTTCTAAAAATAACATCGCGACGAGCGGTATGTTCCAGGATTTACTTTCAATCAAGGACGCTCGACGGCCGTGCGAAGCCGCGATCGCAGCTCGATCTTGAATTGCATCCTGAAATTCATCAATCTTCACCGCCGCGCTCGCGCTCGAACGATGATTTTTTTTCCACGCCCGAGCTCGAGCTCGCTCGACTCGATGCTGATGCTCCTTAAGCGATGATTCTACTTCCTATTACAAATCGTTTTCCGATTCCATTAAGAGCCACCGCTCTCTTTTGCAGCTTCTGGATACGTTGACACGTAATCTGTATTTCAGTTCAGTTCGGGCTCAATGAAAACCTCGTTTCCCGTCTCCCGAGGCGAGAACCTCTTCCGGCGGGCCCACCGGCGACAACTCCATTTACTGAAATTCAACAACGATTTTTCCTACCCGAGCTGCGTCGTGCCGTAAAAATGCTAGGATAAACCTGAAAGGCAGTCGAGGATTTTAAAAGTCGATCGTGCGCTGTCGAGGAGATCCGGCATACGTAACGCTTTTAGATCGACCAAGCGTGAGTTATAAAAAAACCACGATTTTTCGCTTCCGCCTGATTTACTCGAGGTCGCTTCAAACAAAATACTCTTCTTTATAATTTCACTAAAAAAACACACACAGAAAAAAGAGAGAGAGAGAGAATCTTCGAAAACATAATTTTCAAAAGATCGCGAGGCACGTCGGCACGTCATTAGTTTCATTCTGCGGGATTCCGTTCGAAGAATCGCGGTGATTCCAAATGTAATTTGTAGCTCATAAAAGTATCGCTCGAATTATCGTCGCCGGTGGGAGAGAAAAAAAGAGGTTACAGAAAACGCGGGAACGGCGCCAGATCGAAGAGCAAATCGCGCGCGGTTACTCGTCGTTGAGGGGATGATCGGATTTGCGTGCATTTGGATAGCGAATTGCGAGACGTGCGACCGTAACCCACTCCATAAATTGCGAGTTCTGATTGGGATTTACGAGTGGAGGGCGAGCGTACGTTGCGGCCCTCTTTAAAATGAAAACCACGAAGTGCACCGTGAGTTCTCCAATCGGAATTTATGGCTGCGTATCTTGCGAAAGAGAACAAGAAAAATGAGCGGTTGAATCTCGCTAGCGGAAGAGAATTCGTAAACTCGTATTGTCGCACAACAAAAAAAAAAAA